AGTATTTCTGAATTAAACACATTCACGCAAACGAAGAACCTTTACCAGAGGCGCTTGAACTGTTTGTGTTGGCATTCGGCTGCTGCTCACAATGACCCAACTGTAAGGACAATACAGATGGGTGACATTTACTGCACGCCCTGTACCACGCACTCTGCCAAGCACTTTTCATGAGTTACTGTCACCAACTTCGTACATTTAGTGTGAGACTCGAACGATCTGAAATCATCTGGGCACCATGGAGAATCGGTGTTGAATGAAAGCCACCTTTTCTCTTTCCTAACAGGCTGCTAATAATCCCAAGGTTGGTGGTTCAAACCCACCATCCGTGCCTCAGGAGAAATGCGACTACCTGCTCTGGAAAAGATGAACAGGGTTGGAAATCCTGCATAGATAGGGTCACTGAGTGAGAACGGACTCAGGGCGGTGAGTCTGGCTTTCTCTGGCTCAGCCATAGGCCCTAAAGGAGACTTTCCTTTTCTCAGAGGGCAGACAGTCTGTCTCCGGAGGACCTTTGGGATATGGTCAGGCAGGTGCAAGAGGTGACAGTGTTTGTGAAAGCATATTCACAACGGACCCCAGAAACAAACATAACAGAAGGAGCAACTTTTCTAGTAGCTTACCAAGGAGAACTTGTCCGACCATTGACCGGTGACCACCCTGTAAAATCCAAACCACCATGTAAACCCACTTTGTTACTGTTAATCACCCGTCCCTGCCGACTGCTCAGTCCCAAAGTCTCAGGTTTGCCTGTCCACCAGTTACCACGCCGGAACTTTTAGCTCAGGCTCTATAACTATGTGAAAAACGTCTTTTTCTTTCTTTCTTTTTAAAATCATTTTATTAGGGGCTCATACAACTCTTATCACAATCCATACATACAATAATTGTGTAAAGCACGTTTGTACGTTCATTGCCCTCATTATTCTCAAAACATTTGCTCTCCACTTAAGCCCCTGGCATCAGCTCCTCATTTTTCCCCTCCCTCCCCGTTCCCTCCTTCCTCAGGAACACTTGATAATTTATAAATTATTATTTTGTCATATCTTGCATTGTCTGACATCTCCCCTCACCACTTTTGTGTCCGTCCCCCGGGAAGCAGGTTATATGTAGATCTTTGTAATTGGTTCCCCCTCTTTACCCCACCCTCCCTCTACCCTCCCAGTATCACCACTCACACCACTGGTCCTGAAGGGATCATCCACCCTGGA